GGATTATGATTTCTTGATGCATTGGGAGTATTTTTTATTCATAACGTGTCTCTCCATCAGTTTTAGTACTTACGTTATAGTTGGTTTTATTAAGACAAATCGTTCAATTTTGACATTTTGTCATTTATGTTATATCACTAGAAATTGGCGCTAGATAAGAATGAAATAATTATGGATTATGATTTCTTGATGTATTGCGAGTATTTTTTATTCATAACGTCTCTCTCCATCAGTTTTAGTACTTAGGTTATAGTTGATTTTATTAAGAAGAATCGTCCAATTTTGACATTTTGGGAATTTATGCTATATCACTAGAAAGTGGTGATAGATAAATATGAAGTAATTATGCATTATGATTTCTTGATGCATTAGGAGTATTTTTTATTCATAACGTCTCTCTCCATCAGTTTTAGAACTTAAGTTATAGTTTATTTTATTTAGGAAAATCGTCCAATTTTGACATTTTGTGATTTATGCTACATCACTAGAAATTGGCAATAGAAAAGAACGAATTAATTATGGATTATGATTTCTTGATGCATTGGGAGTATATTTTCATTAGGAATGTTCTTACGTTATTGTTGATTTTATAAGGAAAAATCGTTCAAATTTGACATTTTGTGATTTATTCTATATCATTAGAAAGTGGTCATAGATAAATATTAAATAATAATGGATTACTTAATACCTTAAGAATATTTTTTATAACAATGGCCACCAGAGTTTGGTAATCGATTAGTTCTTCCCCGAACGTTAATTTCCAACAAACATTCCGAAAACTCATATGCAACATTTTAACTCATTCTTCACCAACAGGCTTACTTTCACTCTCTATATATACCTCAGATACTTCAATAGGTGCTATCTTATCTCACAATCAGTCTAACAACAATGTAACTAGCCTTTTAGCATTTTTTTTCAAAAAAATTAATAAAAATCCAAACGAAGTATTCAACTTTTGATAGGGAGCTTCTGCCAATTTATTCTGCCAACAAACATTTTTTACATATTAACCAATTTCAAGTGTTTACAGACCATAAACCATTAATTAGCTCAATTTTTTCAAAATCAAAATAATCTCCACGTCAAACTCGTAACATAAATTATATTGTGGAATGTACTTCTGATATATATGATATAAAAGGTGACTTAAATACTCTTTCAGACGCACTTTCACGTATTGTAATAGATTCACTAAATTAATCATATGATGTCGATGTGGATGTTGAGTTTATTTAAGCAAATTCACAAAAAGTAATCCTAGAATAAAACAAAATTAGTTTATCAAAACTTGATTAATGCAATAAACGAATAAACAAGTAATAAATTAATCTCAAAACTAAACATTTTACGTTGTTCGTTTTTATTTTACCACCGACGACGCGACGATTAATTGTTTGTTTCTAACCCAATAAATTTAAATGATTTTTTTTAGTTAATGAATCAATTTAGATACCGAAATAAAAATCTAAAATTATCTAATCACATTAGTTACTTTCCATTATGAATAGGTTGTAAATGAAACTCCAACCCACAAAAGACAAAAAAAAAAGTAAATTACAACCTAAACACCTCAAAACTGTTGAGAAGATTAAATATTTAATCACGCACAATAGACCCTACCTATTAGTAAAGTAAAGATCGTTCATATTAAAACATCTCGATTAAGTAATTTTNTCAATAAATACGGCTTCCAGGAATTTTTAAATTAGCACCTTTTTTGACACTTTTAGGTTATACGAAAATGTAAGTTTTGTTTCAACATTTTTTTTCTCAATATTTTTCCAATTCAATCCAACAATTATTATACATCGTTGTAAAGAGAAAGCTTTGAGCTTTAATTTGGAATAAGTCTCATTCCTTAATTTCAATAAATACGGCTTCCAGGAATTTTGAAATTAGCATCTTTTTTGACACTTTTAGGTTATACGAAAATGTAAGTTTTGTTTCAACATTTTTTTTCTCAATCGTTTTCCAATTCAACCCAACAATTATTATACATCGTTGTAAAGAGAAAGCTTTGAGCTTTAATTTAGAATAAGTCTCATTCCTTAATTTCAAGAAATACGGCTTCCACGAATTTTTAAATTAGTATTTTTTTTGACACTTTTAGGTTGTGGGCAAATGTAAGTTTTATTTCAACATTTTTTTTCTCAATATTTTTCCAATCCAACCCAACAATTATTATACATCATTATAAAGAGAAAGCTTTGAGCTTTAATTTAGAATAAGTCTCATTCCTTAATTTCAATAAATACGGCTTCCAGGAATTTTTAAATTACCATCTTTTTTGACACTTTTAGGTAATATGAAAATGTAAGTTTTGTTTCAACATTTTTTTTCTCAATATTTTTAAAATCTAACCCAACAATTATTATACATCATTGTAAAGAGAAAGCTTTGAGCTTTAATTTAGAATAAGTCTCATTCCCTAATTTCAATAAATACTGCTTCCACGAATTTTTAAATTAGCATCTTTTTTGACACTGTTAGGTTATACGAAAATGTAAGTTTTGTTTCAACATTTTTTTTCTCAATATTTTTCCAATTCAATCCAACAATTATTATACATCGTTGTAAAGAGAAAGCTTTGAGCTTTAATTTAGAATAAGTCTCATTCCTTAATGTCAATAAATACGGCTTCCAGGAATTTTTAAATTAGCATCTTTTTTGACACTTTTAGTTTATATGAAAATGTAAGTTTTGATTCAACATTTTTTTTCTCAATATTTTTCCAATCCAACCCAACAATTATTATACATCATTGTAAAGAGAAAGCTTAGAACTTTAATTTAGAATAAGTCTCATTCCTTAATTTCAATAAATACGGCTTCCAGGACACAAAGGGTTAATTTATTAATCAATTTCTTTTAATTAATCATTTTTTTGTAGTATTGGTGGAGCTTCCGCTGTAATTTATGCTTACATAGGTGAATTTCACAACCAAAGATTTCGCCCAAAAGTCGTGGCTTGGATCGCAACTTTCGTAGCTTTAGGAAACATCGTTTTGCCGTTTTTATCGTGGTTAATAATCCCTTTAGATGTAGATTTAAAAATTCTTGGGGTAGAAGTGAAGCCTTGGAGGTTATTGGTGGCTTCTTTTGGGGCTCCGAGTTTAATTTGGGCGATTGGGCTTTATTGTTTCCCGGAAAGTCCGAAGTACTTGATGGCGCAAGGAAATAGCGACGAAGCTTTCGAAGCGATTAAAACAATTTATTCTGTTAATACGGGAAAAAGCAAGGAAAATTTCCCCGTTTCTGATCTAATTTTAGACGAAATCCCGATGGAGAAAGATAAAAAAAATGGAATATTTAAAACGATTTGGTCCCAAACTGCCCCGTTATTTAAAAAACCTTATTTAACCAAAACCCTCATGGTGTGTTTCTTACAATTTGGAACATTCGCTAGTTCTTCCGGCTTATTTATGTGGTACCCAGAAATTTTAAACCGAATTGAACAATACCCATTTCAAGACATCACTTGTACAGCACTTTCTTATGGAAACATCGAAGAAGTAACTCAATTAACTAATAAATTTTCTTTTTCATTAATTATTCTTTTTTTTAGGATGATTCGATTTGTTTTGATTCAATGAACGAATCGGTTTATATCCCATCGATTATAATAGGGGGAGCTTTGGCAGTACTTTACATAATCTCCGGGACCATTATTAATCGATTAGGGGCCAAAAATTTGTTAATCATCATCTTGGGAGTCTCCGCAGGATGCGGCATCGCTTCTCAATACATCAAAATTGACTCCTGGTCGAAAATTTTAATGGGAATCTTTCTTTTAAGCAGCGCAGGAGTTGGAATTATTAACACGATAACCGTTGAATTATATCCAACGCAATTACGAGGCATGGCTTTGGCCATTTCTTTGATGGCAGGAAGATTTGGGGCTGTTGCTGGGTCAAATGTAACCGGACAATTAGTTTATAAAGTTTGCGAATATACGTTTTATGTTTTTGCAGCTGATCATATCGGTAAAATTAAATCTATTTTTAATTGTTAATTAATTAATTTCTTTTTTTCTTTTCAGTTTTAATTATTGTAACATTTTTATTACCGGCAGCATCTAAATTACGTCCCATGATTGAACCTGTAACGTGAATAATAAAATTGTATTGTTATAAATTAAATTTGTTAATAAAAATTATGTAAAATCCAACAAAATTTTTTAGTATAAGATATGCAACCCAATATACAACAATCCATATTATTCGATCTTACGTTATCTCTCATTAGCTTTGTCCGGATATTAAAAATCTATTACTTAGTACTCCACCATTCACAGGAATTAGTATCTCTTTATATTGAGACAGTAAAAGTAAAGGAATGACAAGAAATAATAAAGAAAGAGACTTGTAGCAAAAGGTTTCCAACTAAAAGAACAATACAATATACTCCTGTAGCAAGAATGGTAACAATAAGAACATTAATTATACATGCAATACAAAAGTTCAACCCCAATAGGACTTCAACTTTATCATTAGCTTCTTCTCTTCGCTTGTAATTCATCATTTTTTAAATTAACATCTTTTTTGACACTTTTAGGTAATACGCAAATGTAAGTTTTGTTTCAACATTTTTTTCTCAATATTTTTCCGATCCAACCCAACAATTATTATACATCATTTTAAACAGAAAGCTTTGAGCTTTAATTTAGAGTAAGTATCATTGTTTAATTTCAATAAATACGGCTGCCAGGAATTTTTAAATTAGCATCGTTTTTGACACTTTTAGGTTATACGAAAATGTAAGTTTTATTTCAACATTTTTTTTCTCAATATTTTTCCAATCCAACCCAACAATTATTATACATCATTGTAAAGAGAAAGCTTTGAGCTTTAATTTAGAATAAGTCTCATTCCTTAATTTCAATAAATACGGCTTCCAGGAATTTTTAAATTAGCATCTTTTTTGACACTTTTAGGTTATACGAAAATGTAAGTTTTGTTTCAACATTTTTTTTCTCAATATTTTTCCAATCCAACCCAACAATTATTATACATCATTTTAAAGAGAAAGCTTTGAGCTTTAATTTAGAATAAGTCTCATTCCTTAATTTCAATAAATACGGCTTCCAGGAATTTTTAAATTAGCATCTTTTTTGACACTTTTAGGTTATACGAAAATGTAAGTTTTGTTTCAACATTTTTTTTCTCAATATTTTTCCAATCCAACCCAACAATTATTATACATCATTTTAAAGAGAAAGCTTTGAGCTTTAATTTAGAATAAGTCTCATTCCTTAATTTCAATAAATACGGCTTCCAGGAATTTTTAAATTAGCATCTTTTTTGACACTTTTAGGTTATACGAAAATGTAAGTTTTGTTTCAACATTTTTTTTCTCAATATTTTTCCAATCCAACCCAACAATTATTATACATCATTTTAAAGAGAAAGCTTTGAGCTTTAATTTAGAATAAGTCTCATTCCTTAATTTCAATAAATACGGCTTCCAGGAATTTTTAAATTAGCATCTTTTTTGACACTTTTAGGTTATACGAAAATGTAAGTTTTGTTTCAACATTTTTTTTCTCAATATTTTTCCAATCCAACCCAACAATTATTATACATCATTGTAAAGAGAAAGCTTTGAGCTTTAATTTAGAATAAGTCTCATTCCTTAATTTCAATAACACATAATCACATTCATTACTAGCAGAACTGTCGGTGTTATCACTTTCTATTATTAATTAAAGTATCCTCTTTTTAATGCAAAAAGTTCTAGTTTTAGTAATTTATTATTACTACTAGCCACCAAACGAACAGGAAGATTTTTAAAAAGTGATACAATTTACAACCGATTTCAAAATTTTGTTCATCAGGATCTCTGCTAAAATGGGGCTAATGACAGCTCCCATAGGACTGCCAAAAATTTGTCTATAAAATTTATCGTTGAAGCAAAAATACACATTGTTGAAGATAAACTGCAAAATCTCTAAAAAAATTTTCCAAGGGTATGTCTGTTACCGCTTCCAATCTGGTCCATTCTTCTTCAATTATAGATTTAATTAAATTGAGAGGTATATTGGTGAAGAGGGAAACTACATCGAACAAAACTATTTCATAACTATCTGGCAATTGCATACCATTCACACGTTCAAAGAATTCGAAGGGATCATTAATTCGAAAGGTCAAATAATGTGAGAAAGCTTCTGTCAAGATGGATGTCATAAATATCTCCAGGTTTCTTGTAGGACCCTTAACCGAAGATACAATAGGTCGGAAGGGACATTCCGGCTTATGTACCTTAGGCAGGCAATAAAGTTTCGGACATACAGAGTTATAGACCCTCATTTTCTTCGCCTCAGCGTCCGAGATTATATTTAAAGCTTTCACGGAAGAAACGAAAGTGTTAAGCTTCCTTTCGATTCTCATCGTGGGGTCACAATTGTGGACTTCATTCGTCATTTAAAAGACCGCTACATCAATCCAAATAGAAATCGTTATTGAAAACTACTGTAACCTCACCTTTATCCGCTTTAGAGACAGTAAGATTGGGGTTTTCTCACAAAAAAGTCGTGTTTTTTTAAAATTCGTATAAAATCGATTTTTTGGAATATGAGTATCATAATTTCCTAAAATGTTAATAAAAGTATCCTCTTTCCAATGAACCAACCCGTTTTGAAAAATAACTTTTAGTTTCTGAGAAAACAACATTTGTTGTTTTGATAAAATTTTCGATGTTGCAATTTTCATCGATAGTTTTCAAAATTCGCTATAAAATTAATTTCTTGAAGGATCCTTGTGGAAATATCACCAATTACTAATGAAAGTATTCTCTTTTTAATGCAACAAGCCGTTTTGAAAAATCGCTTTTAGTTCTTGAGAAATAAATTTTTGAAATGATCGAAAATTTTTTCCAATTTTGAAATTTTCGCCGATTCAATTTTAAAAATTCGTATAAAATCCAGTTCTTGGAATATGAGTATGAAAATTTCCCAAAGTGTTAATAAAAGTGTCCTCTTTCCAATGAACCAACCCGTTTTGAAAAATAACTTTTAGTTTTTGAGAAAACAATATTTGAAGTTTTGATAAAATTTTCGATGTTGCAATTTTCATCGATAATTTTCAAAATTCGCTATAAAATTAATTTCTTGAAGGATCCTTGTGGAAATATCACCAATTATTAATTAAAGTATCCTCTTTTTAATGCAAAAAGCCGTTTTGAAAAATCACTTTTAGTTCTTGAGAAATAAATTTTTGAAATAATCGACAATTTTTTCGAATTTTGCAATTTTCGCCGATTAAGTTTTAAAAATTCGTATAAAATCGATTTCTTGGAATATGATTATGAAAATTTCCCAAAGTGTTTATAAAAGTGTCCTCTTTCCAATGAACCAACACGTTTTGAAAAATAACTTTTAGTTTTTGAGAAAACAATATTTGAAGTTTTGATAAAATTTTCAATGTTCAATTTTCATCGATAATTTTCAAAATTGATTATAAAATTAATTCCTTGAAGGATCCTTCTGGAAATATCACCAATTATTAATTAAAGCATCCTCTTTTTAATGCAAAAAGCCGTTTTGAAAAATCACTTTTAGTTCTTGAGAACTAAATTTTTGAAATAATCGCCATTCCTTTCGAATTTTGCAATTTTCGCCGATTAAGTTTTAAAAATTCGTATAAAATTCATTTCTTGGAATATGAGTATAAAAATTTCCCAAAGTGTTAATAAAAGTGTCCTCTTTCCAATGAATCAACCCGTTTTGAAAAATAACTTTTAGTTTTTGAGAAAACAATGTTTGAAGTTTTGATAAAATTTTCGACGTTGCAATTTTCATCGATAACTTTCAAAATTCGCTATATAATTAATTTCTTGAAGGATCTTTGTAGAAATATCACCAATTATTAATTAAAGTATCCTCTCTTTAATGCAACAAGCCGTTTTGAAAAATCATTTTTAGTTCTTGAGAAATAAATTTTTGAAATAATCGCCATTACTTTAGAATTTTGCAATTTTCGCCGATTAAGTTTTAAAAATTCGTATAAAATCGATATTTTGGAATATAAGTATGAAAATTTCCCAAAATGATAATAAAAGTATCCTCTTTCCAATGAACCAACACGTTTTGAAAAATAACTTTTAGTTTTTGAGAAAACAATATTCGAAGTTTTGATAAAATTTTCAATGTTCAATTTTCATCGATAATTTTGAAAATTGATTATAAAATTAATTCCTTGAAGGATCCTTCTGGAAATATCACCAATTATTTTAGTTCTTGAGAAATAAATTTTTGAAATAATCGACAATTTTTTCGAATTTTACAATTTTCGCCGATTAAGTTTTAAAAATTCGTATAAAATCCAGTTCTTGGAATACGAGTTTGAAAATTTCCCAAAATGTTAATAAAAGTATCCTCTTTCCAATGAACAAACCCGTTTTGGAAAATAACGTTTAGTTTTTGAGAAAACAACGTTTGAAGTTTTGATAAAATTTTCGATGTTACAATTTTCATCGATAATTTTCAAAATTCATCAACTTGTTTTTATAAATCCTTCTGAAACACTTGAGGATGCTATTTTGCTGGAGGACGAGTATTTCACTCTTCTAGGTCAAGGGAAGAACACGGCTCCTGGTTATGATAACATCTCGGGGAGGGTGTTGAGAAGCTTGGACCTTGATATTCACTCCTACATCAGGGAAATAATTAACTTCTGCCTCATGACTCAACATTTTCCACGAGACTAGAGGACCTTTATCATAATCTGCGTCCCCAAGAACGATTCCTCACTTACCGACCCAGCAAACTACCGCCCCATCTCACTGCTGCCAGTGATAGGAAAGCTTTTCGAGACACATCTCAAGAACAAGCTCCTGGTTGTCGTCTCAAAGAACATCCCACCCTACCAATTTGGATTCCAACCCGGAAAATCCACATCCCAGCCAGTTACGGTATTGGTTTCTAACTTTCAAACGCCACGCTATCAAAAACGTAAATCCACGGCTGTGTTTCTGGATGTCCGAAAGGCTTTCGACTCAGTCTGCCATCTTTGTGTTCAAACTGGATAAGTTAAATGTTCCATATTACCTCCTAAACTTGATAAGGCAATTCCTTTCAGATCGCTCTTGTTCTGTGAAGCTGAAAAACCATCATGTCCGCAGTTTCACCATCCAACAAGGTCTTCCGCAGGGATCTCCCATCTCTCCTTCTCTATACAACATCTTCTGCCACGATATTCACGACAACAATCCAGACGCCTTTGATGTGAATAAATATACTCTACTCTACCCCGATGACACAACACTGATTTCGCACGCCTCTTCGGTCCCAAAAGCTACAGGTGCTTATCGATGAAACAAAACTCCTCAAAATCGCAATTCTTCATCCCTTTCCTCCCAGTCCACTCCCCTTCTCCTACAATCACAGCCCAATCAACTCCCCTCTCAGTCTCACCAACCTACAAATACCTAGACATAACACTTGACAGAACCCTAAAATTCTCTGCCCACGCCATGAAAGTGAAGATGAAAGTGAAAACTCGTGCCAAGCACATTTACAAATTCATATGCAGACCAATTATAGAATATGCATCTATACTTCTAAATGACGCGTCTAGAACATCAAGATACCATTTAGAAGTCGCAGAAAGATCGGCATTGAGGTCTATAACACGAATAAGGAATCCCCAAAATCCTCTTTTCAACCCTAGCAATTATCCCCTTTATAACATCACTAATATCCCTCCCATTAACTTCCATCTACAATCTTTATCTCATAAAACTACCCTAAATTTACCTACCAATCTTCTCCACCATATTAACTCATTATCCCTAGACTAAACCACCCATCGACACCATTCCTTCAAAAACTGTTGATGACCAGAGAAGACTGAAGCTGCTGCTAACTAAAACTTGCACGGGCAGAAAGACTCCGGTCGATAGCCCTATTTTTGGCTGAGTTTTGATTTATAACTTTTTTTGTGCTTATATACTCCTTTTTCTTTTAATTTATTTGTATTTTTTGCATGCAAAAATAAAATTTGTTTTCTCTCTCGATATTTTGGAATATGAGTATGAAAATTTCCCAAAGTGTTAATAAAAGTGCACTCTTTCCAATGAATCAACCTGTTTTGAAAAATAACTTTTAGTTTTTGAGAAAACAATGTTTGATGTTTTGATAAAATTTTCGATGTTGCAATTTTCATCGATCGTTTTCAAAATTCGCTATAAAATTAATTTCTTGAAGGATCCTTGTGGAAATATCACCAATTATTAATTAAAGTATCCTCTTCTTAATGCAGAAAGCCGTTTTAAAAAATCACTTTTAGTTCTTGAGAAATAAATTTTTGAAATAATCGACAATTTTTTCGAATATTTCAATTTTCGCCGATTAAGTTTTAAAAATTCGTATAAAATCCATTTCTTGGAATATGAATTTGAAAATTTCCCAAAATGCTAATAAAAGTATCCTCTTTCCAATAAACCAACCCATTTTGAAAAAAAAACTTTTAGTTTTTGAGAAAGCAATATTTGAAGTTTTGTTAAAATGTTCAATGTTACAATTTTCATCGATAATTTGCAAAATTCGCTATAAAATTAATTTTATGAAGGATCCTTGTGGAAATATCACCAATTATTAATTAAAGTATCCTCTTTTTAATGCAAAAAGCCATTTTGAAAAATCACTTTTAGTTCTTGAGAAATAAATTTTTGAAATAATCGACAATTTTTTCGAATTTTGCAATTTTCGCCGATTAAGTTTTAAAAATTCGTAAAAAATCCATTTCTTGGAATATGAGTATGAAAATNCTGAGGATGCTATTTTGCTGGAGGACGAGTATTTCACTCTTCTAGGTCAAGGGAAGAACACGGCTCCTGGTTATGATAACATCTCGGGGAGGGTGTTGAGAAGCTTGGACCTTGATATTCACTCCTACATCAGGGAAATAATTAACTTCTGCCTCATGACTCAACATTTTCCACGAGACTAGAGGACCTTTATCATAATCTGCGTCCCCAAGAACGATTCCTCACTTACCGACCCAGCAAACTACCGCCCCATCTCACTGCTGCCAGTGATAGGAAAGCTTTTCGAGACACATCTCAAGAACAAGCTCCTGGTTGTCGTCTCAAAGAACATCCCACCCTACCAATTTGGATTCCAACCCGGAAAATCCACATCCCAGCCAGTTACGGTATTGGTTTCTAACTTTCAAACGCCACGCTATCAAAAACGTAAATCCACGGCTGTGTTTCTGGATGTCCGAAAGGCTTTCGACTCAGTCTGCCATCTTTGTGTTCAAACTGGATAAGTTAAATGTTCCATATTACCTCCTAAACTTGATAAGGCAATTCCTTTCAGATCGCTCTTGTTCTGTGAAGCTGAAAAACCATCATGTCCGCAGTTTCACCATCCAACAAGGTCTTCCGCAGGGATCTCCCATCTCTCCTTCTCTATACAACATCTTCTGCCACGATATTCACGACAACAATCCAGACGCCTTTGATGTGAATAAATATACTCTACTCTACCCCGATGACACAACACTGATTTCGCACGCCTCTTCGGTCCCAAAAGCTACAGGTGCTTATCGATGAAACAAAACTCCTCAAAATCGCAATTCTTCATCCCTTTCCTCCCAGTCCACTCCCCTTCTCCTACAATCACAGCCCAATCAACTCCCCTCTCAGTCTCACCAACCTACAAATACCTAGACATAACACTTGACAGAACTCTAAAATTCTCTGCCCACGCCATAAAAGTGAAGATGAAAGTCAAAACTCGTGCTAAGCACATTTACAAATCCATATACAGACCAATTATAGAATATGGATCTATACTTCTAAATGACGCGTCTAGAACATCAAGATAATATTTAGAAGACGCAGAAAGATCGGCATTGAGCTCCATAACACAAATAAGGAATCTCCAAAATCCTCTTTTCAACCCTAACAATTATCTCCTTTATAACCTCACTAATATCCCTCCCATTAACTTCCATCTACAATCTTTATCTCATAAAACTACCCTAAATTTCCGGGTAGTTCCGCAAAATCATCCGGTATCCGGCTTTTCGCAAAATCACTATCCGTTCTATCACTAATGAAAAGTAACTCTTTGCAATAATACTATTTGTAATACTTGATACTATCGATAAAGAATAATCAATTAATTAATTAAATAATATTTAAATTTTAAAAATAATTTTAAATAATCGAACAATAGCGCCATCTATTATACAAATTTTTTAACTTATTTAATTTTCTACATAATCATTTAAAATAAATCAATTATTATTACAGTATTTTAATTTCTTAAAATGTTTTCAACTTAATTTAAACTCTAACCGGATTTTTTTATAATTAACTTATTTTGATCATTTTTATATAAATAATTAAAATTCCTCTTTTTTTAATTTTAAGGTTGGTATGAAAACGTCAATAGCCTTGACTTTTTAAGCGTCTTTCAAATGCCGCATATTTATAAAGAAAGCACGCATTTTAAACTTTATAAGTGATTGTGAGTTTATAGAGCAACCATGGTGAACCCCATTAAAATAACCCATTGCATTTTTGACATGGACGGATTAATGTTAGGTTAGTAACCGAAATCAATAATTTGTGTAATTAATTAATTGCTTTGTAGATACAGAAACGATTTATGAGAAAGTTTACGACGAAATCGCCAATGAATACGGCAAAAGTTACACTAATGAAGTAAAATTAAAGATATTGGGGCGCCCGGAAATCGATGGGGCAAACATTTTCGTTCAAGAATTGGGAATTCCATTAACCGGAAAAGAGTTTTTGTCAAAATTTAAACCTATTGCATTAGAAAGGTTGCAAAATCCGGAATTTTTACCAGGTTTACATAACAATTTTAACAAAGAAAAAGTTTGATTCATTTTTCTTGTAGGAGTAGTTAAATTAATAAAACATTTATCAAAACATAATATTCCAATGTCAATTGCAACATCAAGCGCGGAAGACGTCGCTACAGTTAAGTTGAAAAACCACAAAGAAATTTTCGATTTATTCTACCATATGGTGTGTGGTTCGAGTGATCCTGAAGTAAAAAATGGAAAACCAGCACCAGATATTTACTTAATTTGTGCTTCAAGATTTCCGGATAATCCTAAACCAGAAAATGTAATACTTTAAGATGTTGCATCATTTAAATCTTGTTTATAAATGTAATTCAGATAAGATAAGGTGTTTATTTTTAGGTGCTTGTTTTTGAGGATGCCCCAAATGGAGTTGAAGGGGCTATAACGGCGGGAATGTCTTGTGTAATGGTCCCAGATGAAGAAATACAAAACAACTTGTCAAATTTACTAAAAAAACAACCAACTTTAATAATAAATTCGCTGGAAGATTTTAAACCCGAATTATTTAATATACCAAAATATGATTAATAACAAATTATAATTTTATTTAGATTTTGTACATATAATATTACAATTTTGTACTTTATTGTTTTTTTGTTGGAATGTAATACAACGAATCAACGAAACATCTAATAAAATCCCCAACTATGGCTCTGTCAGGAAGTTTTTGAGCCACCCCGTACATGGCTAATTTTCCTTCTGGTGGTAATGTAGGGTCCTTTAATATTTCGTTTAAACTGTTTTGAACGTCGTTTATAAACGAATCGGCGACTCCTGGTTGAGTATGAACTTGGGTTACGCAAATGTGAATTCTGAAATGATTTCATTAAATATTTGATTTAATAATAATTAATAATTAGTATTTACCCAGATGGATATTGCAAAGTGTTCAAATTCCACCCAAGTTTCGTTAAGGCGTTTGCTAATCGATAAATATGGAAATCGTTTGAGCCGATTGCCACAACACTCGTTCCTGGTTGACCAAATATAAAAATTCCTTTCATTTCTCTTAATCTAAAACAATTTAAAATAAATAATTAAGTTAATTAATAGTTATTTACGTAATCAGTTATGAAAAGAATCATGTAGATTCTTAAAAGTCGTAAAGAAAACGACGTTTTATAAAATTGACATTTAATTTTGACAAATTGTTGTGAAGTTGACCGTGAACTTGACAGACTAATAATAATAATTTGAAACGTTAAAATTTCAGAAAATGGCAATTTAATTCAATTTTTTAGGAATTTCTAAATGTTTGACATTAACAAATTCGTTTTTTCGTATGATTTAAACATAAATTAATTAATTTTTGTAAAGAAAACGTTTTATAAAATTGACATTTAATTTTGACAAATTGTTGTGAAGTTGGTTACAGTTAGTAACTTTGAATTTGTGTCACAGTGACGTTTAAACTTTATTCAAAAATTTATTTAAAAAATAAATTTATGGAATCAATTTCAATAGTCGTGGACAAAGTATAGTATTCTACTCGCATTATTCACTCACTTCGTGAATAATAGCCCTCATTATATGCTCATATAATAATATACTATAGGCATGGCCGCTTAATAATAAAATCATTAAGTATCCCGATTGGTTAAGTTAAGGTCTATGATGTGTTACATGAATTTTGTTTAGAATTTCGAGATGAACTGAAATATGGAATAATATACAGGGTGTTCCATTAAAGAAAATGTAATTTTGTCTCGCCATAACTTGTTGACTGACCCTGCATACTTAATTTGTCTTTATTGTAATAGATTTAAAAAAAACACTAAAACTTTTGTATCTCAACATTTTTCGCTAGCTATCTTACTTTAAGAGATAACTAACATATCAGCGACCTGTATATACTTATTGTTCATATTTATTGTATTTATGAAATAAATGTACCAAGTTTTCAGAGTTACATATCTCCGAAATAGTTTTGCTTTTATTTTTAAATATTCGTTTCAAAATCCTAAATTTTATTTTAAGCACTGATTATAGATAAAATAAATCCTAGCTAACCATTAAGGAGATATTATAATGGTATTAAACATTTTCAACTTCATTTAGTTGTTATTATATTTTTAACCAGATATTCATAACTTCCTAACATTGTGTGGTGGCAGATTCTGGAAGAGGGGGGCCTTCTCCAGGTGGAAGGGAAATTGTGAACTTTTAGTTAACAATAAAAACTCTTATAATAATTTAAAAAAAAATAATAAAAATTAACCGTTTCTCAATGTATCTCGCTGTATGTATAACATTCCTTGTAGCCGTAACATAACCTTCCATCCCCATTTTTAACATTGTAGCCCAACAAACCGCGATGTTTCCCCCTGCTCTTGACCCACACATCGTTGGGGACCCATAAACACCTCCAGGCCAATCTGTTGTTACCGTATATTGATGATGAATATATCTTGAATTAATTCAAAAACGTTATTAAGTTATAAATCAAAAAGAAAAGATTTACTTGATGTCTCGATAAAGCACAACGCTAGTTCCTTTCGGTGCGTATCCATATTTATGAGTATCAGCAGAAATACTGGTAACCCCTTCAAGTCGAAAATCACAAATTGGAACGGGACACCCAGCATCTGGCATAAACATGGTTAAAAATCCCCCTAAACAACTATCGACATGAACGGGGATGTTGTATTTTAAACCCAACTCAGAAATTGCAGCTAAATCATCTATTGTACCATACGGATAATTAGGAGCTGATCCCGCTAACTAAAAAAATAAAATAATAAGAAATTGCGCTTATACAGAGTGTCTCTGCGAGACCGGTCATTAGATGTTTTTGGGGTTTTGGCCAAAAAAAAAATGAGAATTCAGATTTAAGTATTTTCAGATTTCTAACACTTCCGGTTACACCGTATATTTTTACAAGGTTGGATTTATCTGTTTTCAAAGCTTATGAACAACTTTTTCAATTTACTTTTTGCAATTTGATTCGGCCGTTCTCCAGTTATTCGAATTTTTCTAAAATATTTGCTCCAACAGAGATTTTTTTCAAATAATCAGAGAACTATTGATTTTTGGGATATCAATTTAAGATTCAGAACTCAGAAAAAATTAAAATCAGCAAATTTCAGTTTTTTCAAAATATTTCAAAAATGGAAAAAGTCAGGATGAATTTGAAATATGATTTGTTGCGAGCATTGAATTCTGCGAAACATTCTGATATACCAATGGTGAGCATCGAAATCTGGACACACTGTATAAAATTTCTTGTTGCAGTTTCCTATAGTTTTCTTCTCTTCGCTTGTAATTCAGCATCACATTCATTACTAACAGAACTGTCGCTGTTATCACTTTCGATTATTAATTAAAGTATCCTCTCGTCGCAACTCTTTTGTTTTCGAGCTATGAGCTGTCAAAGTTGAGCCCAAAATTTACATTTTATCTTTTATTTCGGGTATAAGTAAACCGTAGAATTTGAAATTTTGTATGTATGTACTACTGATTAATACCTTATTCTCAACCATACCTTAAACTTCCCTAGCGCCCTCTAAGAGGATGAAATTGACAACCCTTTTGATTTTTTTATAACAACTTTTTAACGCCATGGAATATTAACATAAAAAAATATGGGTTGTAAAGCTTATTCTTTAGTGGTACTTTTTTGTCTCTTTAGTTTTTTCCTTAAAGGTAATAGTTTCCGTGTAAAAAAATAAAATATCGTGCCATGTACCGCTATGTGCCGCCATGTTTAGCTAAAATTATTCTAAAAGTTGGCTCTGATCGTTTATATACAAAATTTGTGTTATTTTGGTAAGTACTACATCCTAGTAAAGTTTCCCGATTAAAAACTGAACCATCTTGTATAGATTCTTTTTTTTAAAATTTTTTGATGTGATTTTTCTATTTTCCAATTATACAGGATTTGGCTGATGATGACTAATATTAGTCGAAACCGGTTCCAATAATAATAATTTTTTTTTTACATGTAAGTAAGAAGTTTCTCATTAAATATTTACTTTTACATATATAATAAGCTTGCAACATAGATTCCTACAATAATTAATCGACAATTGTTTTGAATTTTGCAATTTTCGCCGATTAAGTTTTAAAAATTCGTATAAAATCCATTTCTTAGAATATAAGTATGAAAATTTCCCAAAGTGTTAATAAAAGTGTCCTCTTTCTAACGAACCAACCCGTTTTAAAAAATAACTTTTAGTTTTTGAGAAAACAATATTTGAAGTCAGTGCCGGCGCTAGCAAATGAAGCGCCAGGGTGCGGGAACCGGAGTGGCGCCCCCCACCAAGCATTTTGGGCGGAATGTGGGGGAGGGGGCAAAATGCGGAGGAAAAATAAAAACATTTTAATTTAAAAAAATTAAAAATGCATTTTAATTAAAAAAAATGTATAATCAAAGAAATACATACTTAAAACAGACTGAAATAATCATAATCCATACTTCAGCAAAAATTTAAGAATTATATTGGTGAAAAACCAAACTTACGGGAATAGTCGGGAATAATCTGGTCAGAAGGTTAATTTGCAAGAAAAAGTCTGAAATTGCAATAGTTATAAACTAGACTTCAGCAAAAAACAGGAATTACATTGTTCAAAGTCCACATGAAGTCTGAAATTACTGTTCAGAGAAAACAAAAAATTGATTATAAACCAAACATAATTTTTCATGGCAATACTTAGGTGTTCAATAAAAGAATGCGAAGAATATGAACAAGAAACCAATGGACTTGTCTTGTTATTGCACAGGATAAGCACAACAGCAAAGTAAAAGTTGCAGAAATGAGGTACCGGGTGGTACAAGATCCGTATAGATAATAAGAGACTCTCAAAAAGATGATGATAGACACCCAGAAAGAAGTTGCTGTCAGTATCAAGAACAAAACATACATAACGTTGGCAGAAAACTAGATACTGCTTCTAAAAAACTAAATACTGCTTTCTGAAAACTAGATACTGCTGATAGGTCTAAGTACTGCAAAAGAAAGATAAGATATTGTTGGAGAAAACATACATAACGTTGGCAGAAGACTAGATACTGCTTCTAGAAGACTAAATACTGCTTTCTGAAGACTAGATACTGCTTCTAGAAGACTAAATACTGCTTTCTGAAGACTAGATACTTCCGACAGGTCTAAATACAGCCTACTAAAGACTAAAATTGCTTTGTGGAGACTAAATACTGCTGATAGGTCTAAGTACTGCAAAAGAAAGATAAGATATTGTTGGAGAAAACATACATAACGTTGGCAAAAGACTAGATACTGCTTTAGAAGATTAAATACTGCTTTCTGAAGACTAGATACTTCCGACAAGTCTAAATACAGCGTCTGGAACACTAAATACAGCCTACTAAAGACTAAAATTACTTTGTGGAGACTAAATACTGTTTTCTGAAGACTAGATACTGGTAACAGGTCTAAATACTGCAAAAGAAATACAAGATATTGTTGGAGAAAACATACATAACGTTGGCAGAAGACTAGATACTGCTTCTAGAAGATTAAATACTGCTTTCTGAAGACTAGATACTTCCGACAGGTCTCAATACAGCGTCTGGAACACTAAATACAGCCTACTAAAGACTAAAATTGCTTTGTGGAGACTAAATACTGCTGATAGGTCTAAGTACTGCAAAAGAAAAATAAGATATTGTTGGAGAAAACATACATAACGTTGGCAAAAGACTAGATACTGCTTCTAGAAGATTAAATACTGCTTTCTGAAGACTAGATAATTCCGACAGGTCTAAATACAGCGTCTGGAACACTAAATACAGCCTACTAAAGACTAAAATTACTTTGTGGAGACTAAATACTGTTTTCTGAAGACTAGCTACTGCTGACAGGTCTAAATACTGCAAAACAGAGATAAGATATTGTTGGAGAAAACATTAAAAAGGCGCCGGCGCCCCCTTTTAGGCGGCGCCCGGGTGCAGTGCACCCCTTGCACCCCCCGGTAGCGCCGCCTCTGTTTGAAGTTTTGATAAAATTTTCGATGTTGTAATTTTTATCGATAACTTTCAAAATTCGCTATAAAATTCATTTCTTGAAGGATCCTTGTGGACATATCGCCAATTATTAGTTAAAGTATCCTCTTTTTAGAGTTGCTTCGTTAGTTAAATCAGCATCAAAGAAGTTCATTTTGTATCTTGGATCCAAATAAGTTGACATATCTTATTAGCTTTCTTATTAATTGCATTTTTATTCAAATATCGCAATAATGTGGCAATATAGGGTATCATTTCAGAAATGCACCAGAAATTATAACCATAATGGCCGGTTAGATATGCCGGATATCCGGCATATCCGGATATGGGCTATTCGCAAAATCACTCCATCACCAGTACTAGTATTAAGAGACCTAACAGATAATTGGCTCACATGCATCAAGTGACGTAAACAAGTGAGTCTTTGACAAGAACTCATTGAGAAGGCTTGTTTTTCATGGCACACTAGACCAAATATCCATATATGTGTGCATTTTTCAAAGAATCCTAATTATCTCCCAAACTATTAATGCTAGGTATGGGACATATCGGATATAAAAGATGTAGAATGAGACACCGAAGACGACTAAGTAATAAAATATAGGGGGTGCCATTAAAAAAAATGAAGTTATGGTACTTCCAAATTTCGAAAAGTTAACGTGCCATAGTAAAGTGACCAAACAATCTACACAGCTGTTCTTGGCACCAAAACATACTCCATCATGTTGCTTAAGTATGTTCTGAATCCTAAATTGATATCTCAAAAATCGAGTATTCTCTGATTTTTTGAACAAATGTCTGTTGGATTAGGAGCAGATTTTTCTAGAAAAATTCGAATAACTCAAGAACGACAGAATCAAATAGCATAAAGTAAAGTTATTTATAAACCTTGAAAACAGACAAACCCAAATATGTAAAAATATACAGGATGTTTCATTAAAAAAAAAAATAAAATAGGTGCAACTTCCGGTATAACCGGAAGTGCTAGAAAAATAAAAATATTTTAGTCGAAGAGAACGCAATTGATAATACTTAAATCTGAATTTTCAAATTTTTATTTTGGCCCCAAAAATGTTTAATGACCGATCTCGCTGAAACACCCTGTATATTATTTAATTTTTAACTCACCATAATTGTGTTCCTACTAATCGCTCTTTTCATGGCTTTTATATCAACTTTATAAGTAACGGGATCTAAAGGAATCGATTTAACCCGAAAT